CCTGAATCTCGGGGCGAGAATGGGTACCCAGATTTTACCCCTAGCGAGTATCGGGGCGGGGGCGGGGGCGATTTAAATTTGCGGGGGTGGGGGCAGGGAACGTAAAACCCGCTCCCGCCCTGCCCCGTTGCCATGTCTAAACCCTAATCATCATAAAAGATAAAAAAAGTAAAAAGTAAAAAGAAGATCAAAATGCTCTAAGGAACAAAAAAGAATAGTCAAAAGAGAATAAAATCTTGATTGTCTTTTTTTCTTAAGAAAATCAAAGTGCTCTAAAGATCAAAAAAGGATTTTCATTATGGAGAAAGGTACATACTATTCTTTATTATTATGTGAGAATCATGAATTTCAAAAATCCTTTTAGTTTTCTATAATAGATAGTATTAAAAAATTATAAAACTTACATGTGGTACTGGTATGGGAGCATGTGTTGTGAAATTGTATGGTTCTTCTCACTTCTTCATTAATGATATACTTTTTCTTCCCCAATTCATGTGAACCCTAATTTTATAAATTATGAATTATGATTTAATTTTTTCGCTGCATGTTGTTTTCTTTAGACCATGAATAGAGTTTCTTAATTTTGAACTATGATTAATGAATTAAATTTCACATTATTGAAATCCTAGTGGCATTCATGTAAAAATCATTTTCTTGAAATTAAGTGCATGTAAGAATATATATATAATATATATATATATATATAGTTAATCATCCATACACTGCCAATGTAAATTTTTTTACATTAGCAACCAATTATATCTTTTAAATTATTTAATTTTATTTTTATTTCATTAAATAAGCAACTGACGTAATACTAATAAAAGAAATGATCGGTTGCTAGTGTAAAAAAATTTTACATTAGCAGTGTATAGGTGATTAACTCATATATAAACACATGAAATTTTGATATTCGTGACTGCACACCTTATTATCATGTATTTCAACGTAGAATTCAAATATTCTTATAAAGTTTTTTTAAAAGATTAATGAATAGTAAATATCTACGCATCTCAATTTCTAAACACATGAAATTTTATTTTGTTTTTAATTTCTTTGTGAAATTCGTGAAGGTAATTAATTTTAATTGTTTATTGTTTATAAGTTCTTTTATTATATGGATCTGGAACATGAATGACTTTAAATTGGTACTAGTAAAGGTTTTGTATTTACTTGGAATTAAGTGTACAATGAACTTGTTAGATAGTGGCTAAATTTTATATTTATTTAATTCTAAATTAATGATGATTTAATTCAATTACCCATATAATAATAGATGTTAAATGATATGATTGTTTGTTTATAGATATATTGAAATTCATTATTATAAGACATTTATAGATTGCCCAAAGGTTGATTAGTTGTTCTTATAATTAATGGATATAATTGTGTGTAATTTATATGTGTCATTAGATTATTTATATACTCAAAGGTATAAGAAAATTTTAATTGGTGCATATTTAGTTACAAAATAATAATTAAATTTTATTAGCATCATTATGTTTAGGCATGGAAAAATGGGCTGTGACCCGCGGGCTGGCCCGTTGGCTCGCCCAAAATTGCCCATCATTTCAACCCGTCCCGCCAACCCGTCGGCCAAATGGCAGGTTGTGACGGTGCATAAGTAATTGGGCTTCAATTGTTTGCATAAGTAATGGACTTTCTTTATGGACTATCAAAAAATTTATATTATTAATAATTTGTAAGTTTATAATTTGGTTTTGATTTTGGTGTAAGTGGACTAATTTCTATTTGATTTTGTTATAAGTTTGTAATTTGCTTTTGTTGAACATATATTATATACAATATATATGCATTTTAAATTTATATGATTATATTTATTTATTTGTAGCAGTTTTTTTATTTGAACATAAAAAATATTTTTTTTCCATTTTTTTGTGGTATGCGAGCTGGCCCGTCGACCCGTCATCCCGTCCTTAGGCAGGGCAGGCTAGCGTTTCCAACTCGTTTTTCATTGGCGGGCCATTGGTGGGCCGGGCTAGCCCGTTTTGCCACCCCTAATTATGTTTGTATTTGTGTGTTGATGTATCACCCAAAGGAGAGCATCAATATACTACTAATTGATGTTTGAATATATTATATGTGTAGTATGTGCTTTATGTCTCAAAACACTTATATAGGACAACTAGTTTAAGGCACCTACATATTTGGGGTTATCAGGCAGAAATAAGGATTTACAATCCACAAGAACAGAAATTGAATGTAAGAACAATCAGTAGATATTTCATTGGTTATCTAGAAAAGTCTAGTATATATGTTTTACTGTCCTAATCACAGTATGAGAATTGTTGAAACTGAAAATGCAAGGTTCATTGAAAATGGTGAAATTAGTGGAAGTATAGTTCCACAGAAAGTG